AAAAAAAAAACGGCTGCGAGGGAGACTAGTTATCAGGGAGACATAAAAGATTTTTTCACCACTTTGAGAGAACTGACCATGATTGTTATGTGTTGATTTGTGCGAGTCATCCAGTCATGAATGTTCATTACAAAAACCATGGAAACGAAAATGCATCATTTAGTTCTGTGGCAACCATGCAAACTTGTTCAATGCTTTAGCAATGGTGAGTGTCTTCACAGACAACATCGTTTTATCGAGGCTCTCATTTTTGTTCCATTTTATCGGAGGAAGTTTTTTAAAAGGAAACCACTTTGTTAGAGTCACAAGGCAGTACTGTTTGGAAATGGAAGAGGATGATAAAGAAAATCACACATGTAACATTATTATTTGCATCAAGCAGTATCTGGACAGGGCTGCATGTTACACATGGGTGTTGCACATACTGTTTATTTTTATCAAGAAGTGAGGTCATTCCAGGGCTCGAAATTAATGGTAACCCTTTAACCAATGGTTAGTAATTTTCAATGTTTGGTTACTAAAAATGTGTCCAACTAACCCGACGTGATTAGTAAAATTTTCTAACATATTTAAATTATGTTATGGAAATAACCTTAATTTCAATCTACAAATAAATAATGTTTTAGAGATGGTTTATGTGTTATTTACTTGCATTAGCTTGTTTTCTGTCTCAAACAATTTGTTCTTGCCATCTTTGAGATCAAATCAAGCTTTACAGCCAGTTTGAGCCCTAAGGCCCTGGATGCAAATTTCTGTCAAGTGTGGGGATCTGGACACAACTTTGTTGGATCTGCCGTGTTGCAAAACCATATTCGCTTCAAAATTATTGTTCATGAGGTTCTGGTAGTTGGGCATTGAATTACGCAGAGTTCTTTAATCGTCATGGTAAACGAGAGGGAAATAAAATAGGTGCATAATTGTCAATGTTTTTAAGGTTACTGTAGTGTCACAGTCTTTAATTGTAACTGGAACAGAGTCAAATATACAAGAAGAGTTTATACCGAAAAGTAAACAGATCCAACGTATCTAAAATGTCCTTAGGCGTAGCAGCCAAGCCTGCAATATCCAGGGATACCAGGATAATAATAATAATAATAATAATAATAATAATAATAATGATAATAATAATAATAATAANTATAGTCCATTTTACAGTTGTGTGCTTGGTTGCCAAGCCTTTGAATGGGAGTGAGGCTAGAGATGACCTTGTTATGATACAAACCTTGCTGCCTTTCAAATGTAAATCACTTTGTTATCATGCTAACTAGATACAGGTCTCTATCACAACAAGGTCATCTTTAGCCTCACTCTGAATCAAAGGCTTGGCAACTAAGTACACAACTGTAAAATGGCCTATTAAGTTATTTCTAACAAAATTAAAATCAAAGTCAATAAGACCATTCAAACACTTGAAGATCGCTGTACAAATAACAGTCACCGTGCAATTTCAGCCACTCTTTAATTGTCCTAGTTGTTATTAACAAAATGTTCAATATTTGAGATATCATAACTTGTGAGCTTGGATACCAAACTTTATAATTTGGTTAGTAAAAAAGATGTCTACTAATTAATCCAAAGGGTAAGTGATCCAAAAATTAAATTTGAGCCCTGCATTTAGGGAGGAAGGAATATTAATGGAGCTGGATTTTTTTCTATCAAATCCTGGCCTACAGATATGAAAGTGATTTTTTGGAAGAAACTGATAGGAGACCAAGGAACTTTCAAGTTGATGTTGTTTGCTGAGGGGAATGGCTGTTTGCCAGACTTAATGAGAACATGGATTTTGCTCTCCCAGGCCTGAAATGATGCCAAACCTGCCAAAAAAAAGATTAACAGATGGACTTCATTGTAAATGACTGGGAACAAAAAAGGGGGAGTTGATTTTATTTCAGTATTCATTATGGTAAACTCCTGCTACTCAACAGCCAACGGAAATACTAAAAAGAATGGACAGAACTTCAACAGGAATACTCCTGTTGTATTGGTCAGTACAAAATGCAGACTTCAGACTGCAGACTGCAGACTGGGTACAAAAATGCAGTCTGCAGTCTGCATAATGTACCTGGTTTGCATTTTGTACCTGGTTTTCATTTTGTACCTGGTTTGCATTTTGTACTTAGTCTGCAATCTGCTGTCTTCATTTTGTACTGACCACTTGTTATATGTGCACTTCACACTGTGTTTTCGGAATGAGGAATACTTTTGTTGTTTTTACATTTCAAGTGGAGCTTTTAGAATGAGGAACACTTTTGTAATGCTTTTAAGTACAACAAGGATCACTCTTGTATTTGTGCACTTCACACGGTGCCTTTAGAAGGAGGAATGCTCTTGTTGTTTGTGCACCTCGCACAGTCCTATTAGAAGAAGTTAGAGTACTTTTTCTGTTTGTACATTTCAAGCAGAGCCTTTAGAACAAAGAATACAATTTGAGCAATGCTTTTAGATTAAGAAAACTTGTGTTTGTGCCCTTAATATGTTGCGTTTCAGTAGAACAAAGGTATTTTTTGTGCACTTCATGTCGTGCTTTTAGAATAAGGAATACTCTTGTTGTTTGTGGACTTTGCACAGAACTTTTATGGTGAAAAAATCTCTTAGTCTCCCCAATGACACTCATGGAGAGACAGCACAACTGAATGACTTGTTTTGTTTCCATGGTTTCTGTAATGAATATTCATGGTTTGAAGAATCATATGACTCATACAAATTGATGCACCACCATCAAGGGTCTGTGGTGTGAGCTGAAACACTGGTAGTCTCCCTGATGAGGGGTGCAGGTCATACAACTCGTGAATACATAAGAGGAATACAATAAATGACTTGTAATGATTTGTACCAAAGAAAATACTTGTTCTGTGGTACAACTAAAAGTCTGAGAGTTAACATTGTGATTAGGTGAAGCAAAAAAAAAAAAAAACTTCTCATAATGGTGTTTGTTCATAATTTCCAGGAGAACAGCTCATTCCACTCCACCAAACAGGCGCCATGAAAGTGATCTGGAAGATGACTTCGTACTTCCAAAAGAACTGAACTTCAAAAACAACAAAATTATATCTGATGTTGAAAAACAAACAATTCAGGCAGAGCTTGCCGGGCTTGAGGAAGTCTATCAACGAGTGTGTCATGTAAGTGAGCAATATATAATCACTTCCATGAAATTAATGTAACACTTTCCTCCTCCATCTGTGGCTTCCTGCGATGATTTATCTTTCTGTGTAAGCACATTTCTGTTAGTCAAAATTTAGTATATTGCATCTCTCTTGCATACAAGTTGAAAGTTTTAAGCACATTTTGTCTTGTACAGGGAAGAATAGAGTCTTTACACAGTCTGGTGTATCCTTGTCGAAGAGATACCAAAAGAGGTTTGGTGCAGTACATAAACACCTCTGCCCCAGTGCAGCTGAGGTAAGGAAATGACTCTATACTATGTTATGGAGAGTGTGTTGCGTTACGGAAATGCTAAAAATAGAACTCAAGTTGTTTCTAGAATGCTCAGTCATGCTGACTCATTGAGAACTTTTAATGGAACTTTCTAGAACCCTTAGTCAGCATATTTTGTTATGATATCGATGCAATAGGGATGTCATGATACTAAAAATAGTTGCATTACAGATCCCTAGTACATTCTAGAACATTCTGTAAAAGATATATAAGGAGTTGCAATCAGTTAAAGTTAGACCTTTTTTAGTGAGTTAGTACTGTTGCAAAGAGCCCAGAGGAGCTAGTGTTGTTACTGGAGTCGTCAGCCGTGCGGAAGGCTACGTTGAGAAAAGTTGTGGACATGCATTGATACGTTACGAAGATCTGTGAAGAGAACTGTGAGTTGTGCAGTAGTGTACTAAGGTTATAGTTTTATAGAGGGCTCTAAGATAAGAGGATAGTTATTGTATTTGTATCATTCCGTAGTAAGATTGTTACATCAGTTGATAAAGTAGTTGAGTTGGTACGAGTTGTATCTTTCTGGCAGTTGAGAAAATACCATAACAACTAATACACCTTATACCTCTCAGCTTCTTTTTTTGTTATATTTAGTGATAACAACTAGCAATTTATTGCATATATAATGGTTTCAGAGGCAAATAAAGTGAATTTTATTTGATCTCTTCAAGTTTTGTATTTCTTACTATTTTTTTTCTATGACAACTCAACTTTAATCAGAAGTGATTAAGCCTTGGCTAAAAAATCAGCCTTGTGGAAATGGGGTTACTATAAAATTCCAAATTTAGATTCTGATTTTTTGTTGAAAGGAGGGTAAGTGTTACAATTATTTTTTAGGGATTTTTTGACCTACCACAAGACATCTATGTTCTAATGTGTCAGTCAAGTACTTTTGATGTATTTGTTAAAGGAGATCCTTGCAAAACTCAAAGAGATATGATTTTTTCTGAATATCTATTAATCACTTTTAAAACCATTTAGCTTGTATATCATAACAGCCAAAGCTAATCTGGGAATCATTTTTCAAAGGAGTCCAAAGATTTCTCATTACTCCAAGAAAGCATCTGCTGCTAAAAGTCTGAAACATAAAGAGGAAACTGAAACAGCTGAAACAAATGGTATTAAAGAGACAAACAATGAGGAATTACAGGAATCTACTTCTGCTCCTGATATAGAAAGCAAGCAAGAGTGAGTATTAAGTTAAAGTAGTTTGTGATAAATATAATGTATAATGATATAGAAGATAATGTGAGATTTGGTGACTTAATGATTACAAAGCTTGAACGTGGTCTAAGAGGTCAAGAGTCTTGCTCTGGCTATTTTCATTGTCTTCTTGGGTGAAATATTTTTATCCAAATTCTCACATTGCTTTCCCAAATATTAGTGAATTATTAACAGGGAAACTTGGAAATAAAAACAGGCTAGTAAGCTGCATTTCATCCAGGGAAGAGAGCAAGGCTCCTATTCACTTCATATTGTGAAAACTGTAGTAAGCACCACTGGTGTAGGCCATGATACTTGATGTAGGCCACAAGTTAAGGGCAGTGCTGCTGCTTTTCTAAAGTTCTGATGCTTCAGATGGCTTGTGATGTGTTTCTGTGCTGAAAAAGTTACAGTTTGTATTTTACCATTAGTGAATCAAAATGCGCTTTACTTCAGTCTATACCCTCTCTATGCTAAGTTGGACAATGTCATGTTAGTACTAATTTTAATATTTGGCCCTGGCTATCTGTTTTATAGAAAGTTTATGTAAAGTAAAGGATGGTAATCTCTATTGTGATCATTTTTTTTTTTTTTTCATAGTTGATTACCAAATCTACACTAGAGTATCTTAGAAACACACTTCATTAATGGTAGCTTTATGAAATTTTTTAAAGAAATTGCTAAATAGGGCTCAGAGCCACCCAGAATTATCAAAAGGTTTAGGTGGCTCAGAATTCAATGAACTAATGAAAAACTAGAAAATATTCCATGGGCTCATCAAACCAATAAGATGAGGTTTTGTTTTTGTTTGGAAAAGTTTCTACTATGTTTGTGTATTTGATACTTTCCCTCTCTTTTGTTGAAGGAACAACAATCGACCAATTCTGATCCCTCTTCCATATATCAGATCAGATGTCAGTTTAACAGCAATTGCAAAACAGCAACATCAGACCTACCATGTACCTCATATATATAGCAGTAGGAATACCCATGCAGCCTTGAGGCAGCCCTCTACACTCAATAACACTGCAGTACCTGCTGTCATAAACATTAATCCAATGAGCATACCACAGCAGCCTCACCCAGGAGCAAAGAATGGCACACCTACTAGCAGTGTAGTCACGGTAACTGTAACAAACAAGTTCAGCAGTAATGCAGCAAATGCTGTTCCAGAAGCAGCTGAAGGTCACAATTCTATTCCTGCTCCTTTTGTCTCCCCTAGTCCTTGTAAAAGAACTACACCCAATCAGACACCAGCAACACCAGCATTGGTTGATGTAGGGATTGACTTGTTAAATAAACTGGATGTGGAAAGTGTGGACTCTGAAGTAGATTATCCTGCTCAGAATGTTACGGAAAGCTTGACCAATAATCAGGGAGAAGAAACGACAGCTTCAAATCATACAGGAGATGATGCTAGCAAAAATCTTGCTGAAGAAATGGTGGCAAGCCAAATTAGGCTAAGTGTCACCACAATAGGTGGCCTAGAAGGAGGTGTGGAAATTTTTGATTATACCAAAAGAGGTAGGTGGTTTGATATTATTGTCTTGTTTTAATAATTACAATTTTTACAGACAGTGTTTTGAGGGAAAAGTGAGTTTTACTTGCATGCAAAGTATTTTATTCAACTAAAAGTAGTAAATTTGTCTACATTTTTTATTGCATGGTATTTTTTCTGTTTTTTTGGGGGGGGGTGGTGGGACTTATTTTGTCCAATGGAGAGCAATCTGTAAAGTGTCCTTTGGTTCTTTCTCTTCTTATTTTGAGCTTATATCTGTTTGATTTAATTTAAATCAATGTACAGACTGCTCGCAGTCCCTCTGTTTTTGCTCAAAAAAACTTATTATTTTTTTTGCCATCGTAATAGAATCTAAGGGGTGTACATTACTACTCTTGGTACAGGTAAAATTTTCCCCCTCCTCCTTGCAAAATAGCCCCATTGGATGACTTTGTGGTCAAACAAGAGGCAGATATAAATCAGTACTTTCTTGTGATCATTGAACAGCTGGGTCACAATAAACATTACCAATAGTAGAGTTCCAAGTGTCAAGTGTGATCATCTGCCATGTGATGTAATTTTTGTTCATGGCAAATCATGAAACCATTGCGTTTGTTAGACCGTTGAATCTTTATGCCTTACTGTGATTTAATGAGTTTAACTATTGGGTGAGGACAAACCTACTCTCCAGGTATAGTTTTGTCCCCTCAACCCTTTTTACATAACATTTACAGCTTGCCAAAGGAAAATTTTTCAATTGAGTGTCAAAGACTAAAACTATATTAAAGTTGTCGTAGTGATCAAGCAGAACTAAGGTAAGGTGTCACCAGGAACAAAGAAGAACATAAAGCAAAGACGGGGCCAATTAGGTTACCACTTGTTCTGCTTTAGCACATTATCAGTTGTTTTTGTTCTGATTGCATAGGGGAGCAAAACGAGACCTTAAGTGTAATCCTGAGTACCTTGTAACACTTGTGGAAGATTGCTTTATGTACTAGCAATAAAAGTAAGCTAGTTGATTCTTGCCTGAAACATTCTTACTCAATTTCAAATGCTATCAATGTTTTTTTTTTCTAGACATTGAGAGTGAACAACAAGCTGCAAAACATCTTGAGGTAAGTCACAGGTCATTTTGACAGACATCTTTCCATTATTCTTTCACAAAGTGACTTATAAAGTGAAACTTTTTCTGTTACAAAAACTCAGTTGTGTCCAGAATGAGTGGAAAGAGCCTAGTGCAGATGTAATGTTCTGAAACCTTGTCAATCAGTCTGTCCCTTTATTTTAATCGAGTTTATCATAGGATAGATGTCATTTTCACTTGGACTGTATAGGAAGCCTAGTGTAATGTTTTCTTCAGATTGCATGATACTGTTGCATACTTGGCTACAAACTGTATGCCATTCACTCTAACTTTGATCACTCTCTTAATGTCTGCTTTTCAAGAAAAGACCCTAATGTAATACAATAGAAAATGTTCACAACCTTGCTAACTTCACTGTTAAAACATTTGTATTCTTTCTGAGGCTTGTGAGTAACTTACGACAAATGACACTGTAGGGGTTAATTTCACATGGGTATTTTCTGGAATACAGAGGGCATACTGGCCAAAAAAAATTTCAGAGCAAAGTCAATTCATATAGTCAAACACAAGCCCCTTGTAAAATATTAGCAGCTGTAAGATAAAATTTTTCATTTTTTTTTTAGACTCTTATAAATGTCATTACAATAATCATTAAACATGGGTTATGCTGTAGAGATCATAATTATGTCTTTCTTATCAATTAACTTAACAGGAGCTGAACCAAATTGGAGAGAAACATATTAAAGAGTACAGTGATCTTCTTGAGGAGCATCAGCATATTTTGGATGAGGTCAAGCAACTTGAACAAGAACTTCACAAAGAGTAGACTCACTAGACAGTTGTTTTTTCAGAGTATCACAAGAATTAATCAAAACACAGTCTCCTGTGAGTAGATTGGTTTGTCAGCCATCAGCCTCAATCACCTTGGCTAGATTTAATTTTTTTTTTTATTTGCATCTGAGAATTTTTACTGAAAGTAACTTTTTTGCCCTGGATCTATCTGGCTCCTACCCCCCACCCCTTTTGTATATTCAGCACCTGCAGTATAGAAATTAGGAAATAATTTATTTTGACCTTAATCTCACAAAACACTGGGAAACTTCATTCAGCTCAAGGAGATAATGTCTCCTTGCATTGATACCCTAAAGCTTTGATTATCAGCTAATTATTATTAATGTCCAATTGTTAAAAAACTTTAGCACAATATTTTTTGTTTTTCTTTCAAAAGCTCTGTTAATTAGGCAGTGGAATAAAAGCGCAATTAAAAATGCTTTACAATGCTTTACATTTATAATACAAATCAAAGACAACTTTTTCTAAATCACAAAATAATTTTAATACTTAAAATGGAATTAGTTGTAGGAACCTTTAGAGTTCATGGCAAGAGTTATTTGTTGAAGGAAATTTTCCAATTTCAAGGTGTGGATTAGCCATTGTTGATCAGGATGACCATCTCATGTTTGATACATAAATTGAAGGCAGCAAATGAGACCCAAAAAAGACTTAGCAACTGCTAAATGGTTGATGAGATGATTAATGAAATTTGCATCCCTCTTTTTGTATATAAAGAGATACTGAATCACATTTTGAGAAAAAAATTGCACTACCATGCTAGTTACCATATTATGGTATCAAATACCAAATTTAAGATGGCATGAATGAATAGTATCTCAGCACGGATCTCCTTTGTATTATTTAAGACAGTTGAGTAACAAATTTGCAATAAACTGTGTGACAATGCTAGGACTCAGAATTTCTTTCTTAACATGATCTTGGCTGTATTAGTTTTTAAGTTAATGTTTACTGTGAGTCCTCCATGTGTCCGGGCAGGTATGGACGTGGCAGAAAACACATTAAAGGGGGGTTCATTAACTTGCATGAAAGCATGGTTTTGAGAAACATGATTTGATGTGGGTGTGTCCGAGCCAATCATGATTTGGATTCTCATCAGAGGAAAGGAGTGCAAACCATCATTTTTTGTTTTTATCTTCTATTAAGGCCACAGGTAGCCCAAACTAGTTTATAGTTTATTAGCTTCGCCAACTGGCAGGGACACCGCAACAGCTTGCGCCAATTACTGCAGGCCCAGTAAACCCACCCATCCCACCCCAGGGGAGGACATCCATCACACAGTAATCTCGTGCGTGGGAAATTAATGTCTCCTACCCTCAACCCTGCAGGAGACGAGACCTCTATTTATTCGTCCCTATCCGAGAAGACTAGAATATCCAACCATTTCTTGATGTTATAGAAAGGTAGCAAGTTCTTCTCAATTATTTTAAGACCTTGAGTGTTAGTTTGGCCGGGGCTCGAACCCTTGACCTCCACACAAGAGTCCAGCGCACTATCCATTGGGCTAACTAGGCGGCGGTTAACTTTTGATAACAGGACATGTTGGAGAACCTAGAGCAAATACAATAAGAGAATGATATTCTAAAGAATATGACCTGATGACAAGAAAATCAAGGTTTTCTAGAACTGTCAATTCATTTTTAGGGCCATGGTTTTTTTTTTAATTTTTGTCCAATTTTTGAAAGTAGTAATTGCTGTAAAAGTAATTAAAAATTTTTCATTATGCCAAAAACTATGGCAAACACATGTATGTTGTTAGGTTTTTACTAAATGGCAATGTTAATATTTGACATGAATTTTAAAAATTAATGAAGAATGTCCTTAATTTCAATAAGTATTCTTAGTGATCAAAGGTTCTTGTTATCCTCACTAACTATTATTTCCCCTCAAGAAGTGAAACATGGTACAAAATAGTATATTTGATTGGGAATAAAGTGTAACAATTTTGTACAGCTTGTATTGTCAAACACGGTAGCGCACGTGCCTCGTAGTTTGAATTAGTCAGTTTCTTGTAATAGACTCGTGACGTCATCGTTCAAGCGGCTAGAACTCGTAATCGCCAGAACGCATGCTCATAGTGTCTCCGAGGTGGAAGGGAGCGACTGGGTGGCGTTTCCTTTCACACGTTATATACCTGAAAAACAAATCAAATTCAGAAATACTCCTCGTGGCCCATCATTCAAGAGACTCTAAGCTTCTGCTCTGATTATCCATCGCCATGTTTTCGTGGATGAAAAAGAACGACGGTCACAGGAACCCTCAAGTTTTCGGCTCAGTCGTGGAAGGCTTGAAGAAACTCTACTTTAAGAATTTGAAACCACTGGAAGAGTCTTACCTTTTCAATGATTTTCACTCGCCCGTTATGACTGAGCCTGACTTCGTGGCGAAACCCATGGTATTGTTAGTTGGTCAGTATTCTACTGGTAAAACAACGTTCATTCGTTATCTTCTTGAACGAGATTTTCCTGGAATACGCGTAGGCCCTGAACCTACTACTGATAGTTTCATCGCGGTAATGCACGGAGAGAAAGAGCAAGTAATTCCCGGAAATGCTTTGATGGTGGATCCCCAGAAACCTTTCCGCACTCTCGATTCCTTTGGTAATGCCTTTCTGAATAGGTTTTGTTGCTCCGAGCTTCCAAGTCCTGTCCTTGAGAGCATTTCAATCGTAGATACACCTGGTATTTTGTCAGGCGAAAAGCAGAGTGTGTCTCGCGGATACGATTTCACTGGAATTCTAAAGTGGTTTGCCGAACGATGCGATCGGATAATTCTTCTTTTCGATGCGCACAAACTTGACATTTCAGACGAATTTCAACGTGGGATTGAAGTTCTTCGCGACTACGATGACAAGATTCGAATTGTCCTCAACAAGGCTGATATGGTCACCACTCAACAGCTGATGCGAGTCTATGGAGCTCTTATGTGGTCTTTGGGGAAAGTGATTAACACTCCTGAAGTTGCTCGGGTTTATATCGGGTCTTTCTGGGACCAGCCTTTGCAAATTGATGAAAATCGAAAACTGTTCGAATGTGAAGCCAGTGATCTATTCAGCGATATTCAAACGCTTCCAAGAAATGCCGCACTGAGGAAGTTGAATGACTTCATCAAGAGAGCCCGTTTAGCCAAGGTTTGTAAGATCTTTTTATTTTCACCATTTTCAAACGTACAGATAGATAGTTAGATAGATAGATAGATAGATAGATAGATAGCTTTATTAGGAAGTAAAATCATTGCAGCCACCGGGCCGGCTGAAATACGACTTACTTTACAATGGGAATAAATTATCTCTTACTCAAAGATAACTACTGTAAAAGCCGCAGTCGACTCCAATTAACTCGACTCCTTAAGGGTGATTGTAAATGGTTTGAGTTGTCAGAAGATCATGTTATCAGGAGTTGACAAACTGAAAGGAGGGAAAAAGTGATCACTAGGTTTTCAATTCATACATGTTACATCTAAGCAAAATTTCTTTTACTTTCGAAATGGAACGCTAGGAACCCTTTAAACCCAAAGAATGACTAGCATCTAATTTCTCCTGCCGAATCATTCACTAGAATCATGAGAATAACAGAAATGATCACCAACTTGAGAAGCTAATTGATTGTTAAACAAATTCTCTTTGTCAGTACCAAAGGGAATGTATAGAGAAGAGTATGGAGAAAAGGGCTGCTGGTGCAAGGGTGCAAAGTGTTAAAGAGTTGAGTAGCAAAGCTCTCTCTCAGTGATCCAGGCCACTCTAAGGTTTTTATGTGACACTCATTGTGGGTCCTACCACCAAGGATCACTTGTGTGTGTAGATAAAATCAGAGGGATTATTTCGAGTAGAGGATTTTACACAGCAATGTATTTTCTATTGAAATACTCAAGTTTATTTAATTTATAATAATTTAACTGAGTGGATTGCAATGTGGTCTGAAATTGAGTGGGTAGTGAGTTCAATTTGAAATCATAAATGTGGTTAAAGATCAAAATTGCATAACATGAAGTCCAATTACTACTTTAATGAAATACAATTTTAAATCACAAAAGTTGATAGCCTTAACCCTTTACACCTTGCCATTGATGTGCATGCTGTTCCCGTAACATTCCCTAAGGTGCTGACAAGGAGAATTTGTGTAAGAATCAAGAGCATCATTAGATCATTACCTTTATTCTCATGACTTCAATGTGTGATTTAGGGGGGGTGGGGTTATACTGTAAGGAGAAATTAGATGCTAGTGACTCTTAGGGGTTGAAGGGACAACACAGGATTTCAACACAAATATCTCATTATCCTCATTCAAAAACTGTAAAAAGTTATATTTGTCCATTTTTTGGGGAAAAAAGAAATGTTCTGGTGACAAAAGTTGTAAAATTTACCAAACAAGAGCTTCTTTGTCTCGCATTTCCAGCAATATGATCAGTTACTTCAAACAAGCCTTTAAATCTGATTAGTTGCTTTATTTTTAGTGTTGCTTCCTCATAAGATGGGGAAAAGATATGATTTAGAGCAAAAATTAGTGCTATTCATAAACGACTTGCTACTGAGAGTGAATCTGATTGTAAGGATCACCAGTAATTTCAAAATGGATTGATGAAAGTATGATAAGCAATAGTTAGTTTGAGAAATTTTATAAACACATTTACACCTGAACCGCCCGTAACCGCACGATTGGCTCACGCGAAAACGCTTTCCCCCCCTACTAAGTAGAGTTTTGTCCCCAAACTTCCTCTGTGGTTTAGAGATCAATAAACCAATCAGAATCCGTCATTTGTGCATATATTTTGATGACTTTAGGGGTTACTAGAGGGGGATTACTCTATGCGTCTTCACTAAATGATCAAATTTGAAAATATGGCGTCCACATGGCCAACCCTCAAAATTTTCAGGTCGGATTTTTCATTCATTTGCGATCGAGTTAGACCTTGTGGAACTCAGAATGAAAAGTAGCAATGCTATAGAATACCCTGCTTGGAAAATAATGGATATCAAGGTCTTAAAGGTGATAGAATAAGCTCTCGAGTCAACGACACTATGATTCTCTAAGGCAATGCAGATTATGGATGTAAAGTGAAAACCAAACTTTCGGACTTCAAGGAGGGCCTAGCGACAAGTTGACGATTTGATGGCCTGTGAAATATTATGTTTGAGTAACAATGTGTTCAAAAAGTATTGTTTAATAGAAGATTTTGCATCAAATCAGTTTTTTCAGAATTTTCAACATAACGCTGCGCAATTTTCTGGCCATGAAGGCAAGTAAAGAAGGATCTAAGCATGATGAATTTTACCATGTGGGCTTTGTACATGTAAGAAATTCATACGTTTTTCGCTTATAACAGCAAATCAAAAACTGTTTTGAATAAATCTGTCATCCAGAAATATTTCTTGGTCATTTTCGTCTTGCTTCCTATTGATAGATTCTGTGGAACTTGAGATCTCTTCACTCATGGACAAATTTGCATATTCCCTTTTGAAATATGATCTGCATGCCCATTTGCACACATGTGAAAATATTTAGCAATTTTTATCTTTCATCTTGATTTTTGATTAAAACCTTAATATGCACCTATCACTTTTTTTGTTGGAAAAAAAGTGATAGAGTCGAGTTATCTAACTCACTCAAAATCCTTGGGGTCACAATTGACAACAAGTTAACATTTGCTGATCATTCAGAGTGTCATAAAAAAGGTCTATGCCAAGATTGGTGCCCTTAGGAGACTCAAAAAACTTATACCTGTAGACGTCTCCCTATCACTCTATAAGGC